TTCAATGTCAATTGCTTCAAGAGGGTCTTCACAGTAGGAAGCATTGCCAGAACAATGCTTTTGAGAGGATCAGAAATATTCAGGTACTTGAGGATATCGTCCACAATGTTATCAAATGAGAACAACCCTGATGAAGAAGGGGCTTCTGTTCTTAAAAATGGGACATCAGGGGTTTTGGATGTCCCCGGGAGAGGTGGAAAATCCTGGGTATAGTCAGTTCTTCTTTATTCAGGAGGAGTAGAAACTTCCTTTTTCCACCACTCCTTGATTTGGGCAAGCTGATTTGGGGTTCTTCATTCTCAACTTTCCGCGAACGGATGCGTTTTCGTTTCCGTGCTGAAAAACGGAAAGAAGTTCCCTCCTCAGCCAAGTCAGAGTCAGTCTCGTCATCTGACAAAAGAGAAAAGGGATTTTTGTCGTTGGTCGATGGCGTGGCCGTCTTAAGCATTTCTGCAAAAGACTGCCGGGAACGGTCCTTAAGTGAGCGTTGTAATTTCTCCCCGCGTTGTTTGTACACCGGGCACAACGAGAGACCATGAGGAGTTCCCTTACAGTACACGCATTTTGGTGCGGTAGCTGTACAGGTGTCATCCCCATGCTTCTCCCCGCATTTGGAACAGCGTGCCTTGCTGCCACAGTGGGAGGCCGTATGTCCCAACTGCTTACAGTTTTGGCAGTTCATGACCCGGGGAACGAACAAACGCACAGGTAGTCGAAGTTTTCCCAGCTCGATGTAGTGAGGAAGGGCTGAACCAGAAAAGGTCACACGGAACGAGTCTGTGGGGGTAAAACTCTTTTTACCCTCGCTGACAGATACTGAGCCCAGTTTTTGGACATCCAGTATCTTCACCGGGGGAAGCAAACGGTTCTTGAAACGGCCAACCGCCTGCTTCTCCAAGATCTCGGGGGTCAGACTCGCTTCGGTGACCACACCTTCGATCTCCACATCACGAGCTGGGATGTAAACTCTGTACTCGAGCGTGAAGAGCTGGGAGGCAGCAATCTCGTTAGCCTGCTTCAGGTTAGAGACGGAGACACGAAGTTTATTGTGCCTAACCTTCGTAATTTCAGTCACGGCCGAGTATCGCTTCATCAGATCATTAGTAATTTGCATTACATTCAAAGGTTTGTTTCTGGGCTGAAAGTAGACAACCCATGGGCCAGTCGAGTCATCTGGATAGGCTCGCGATCGGGGGTTTATCTGAGCCTGTCCTTTGCCAGACTGAGACGATGAACCAGGGATGACATCATCTTTCTTTTGAGATGACGTACGTTTTCGACCCTTCTTGCCATCGCGTGGCAAAGTGGTGTCATCTTCTGACAAAACGTCCATTTCGTCTTGCGACAAAATGTCCATTTTGCCGTACTAGTAGGAGCGAAAAACGCTCTACCACTGAAACGATAATCACTCGGACACAATACACAAAAAAAAACTACAAACACAGAACACAAACTTAAAATTTAACTGATGGGCGAAAGAGAGAAACAAGAATAAAAACTTATCTGATAATCCTATACTACTACCACCGAGCGTTTAAACAGCAGCAGCGGAGCGACGCGCAGCGTGGATGATCTTCGATCCGCGTGTGCGGGCGGTTTTCGTTGGTGTGTGCTTATGTGAGGGTCGGCACTAAGCTGAACACACGATGATAGATGAGCGGTGTAAATGCGGAGGCAGATGCTGACGCTCGATGACGATGATCCGTGTGCAGGTATGCGTTACCACGCACCGATGGTGCGCAAAATGGTTGGCGAATTGACAATCGCAAAAACAATTTTCCTTCCGATGATGCCGAAAACACACTTTCTTCTCAGAAAAAACTCACTTTTAGTTAATTATTTAGCTGGGAACTCTAAGCGAGAAGAAACTGATAATTTAAATCAAGCGAATAGCGAGAAAACTTCCAAAATAGCGGAGCGCGAACTAAGTCGACCGTACTTCTTGCTAGGACGCAGTGGAGTGATTAGCTTGCCTAAATATGTAAATGTTTCATTCCTGCATTTACGCGCATGTTGAACATTTATCACGATTATTTTGACGCACAACAAATCAAACATCTATGTGGACGGAGCATAATTTCGCAATGTTTGCATCAGCTGTCTTATACCATTGACAACCATACAAAGCAGTACCGTTGTACTCCTTTAATCGAGTACCTCAAAAGGTACAATTTGAGGTACTAGCATAAAGAAGAACAACGGTAGTGGTACAACAATGTACTTTGTATGTCTGTACAAGGTATTAGATTGGCAGATAATCAAGCCAAAGAACCAACAACTTAGGCTTCAAGTGAAATGTTCGTGGATGACTTTTTTGCCACCGGAGTGATAAAAACGCAGCAGAAAAAAAACAACACGTCAGAGTTTCAACGTGGCTTACTTCAGTGCTATAGTATGAATAATAATAATTTAAATTGTGATGTTGTTTTCGGCAAAGTTGATCCTTCCAGTTTAAGCTACATGTGCTGAAATTCTGAGCTTAAGGTTCAATTTACTTTGATGCATTTTTAAAAAAATTAAAAGCAGTTTTTTTTGACGTATTATTCTAGATTGCAAAAAGCTCGCGTCATTTTGTGTAAAATATCAAAAGGAATCGAATAGTGCTAGCTTTTTGCAATCTGAAATAATGCGTTGGAAAAAAAACTGCTTTTGAAATTTTCCAGAAACCATCAAAGTAAATTGAACCTTAATCAAGTTTGCCAGTTCTATGCGAAAAGAAGAGGAAGGAATTTTATTTCGCCATACATTTCAACCATATAAACTTTCAACCAAAAGCAAGCTGGTGCTTACATCCGAATGAGCTGAAATTGTCATATAGTAGTTTTTTCACCTAATGTGTCAAATCTGAGAGTTGGCAAAAAAATTCTAAAAAATGTCTCCCATATAAATGTATAAATATTTTCGACACCCATGGTCCATTCAAAGACGGTTGGTAGTACCTGGTTCGCGCAACGTGGACATCCGATTACGCCATAAATTTTGCGCAGTGGGCATTGTTATGCGAAAAAAACTAAGCGGTTGGAAAAATCATCAGTAAAATGAATGTCAAGTGACGAGACCGGGACCGCGTTAACCGGCTCAGCGCTTGATACATAATGATGGCGCATGGTAGTTGGTAGTGCTTATTCCAAAGGGTGCCCTAATATATTTTTCCCTTCCTCGCATTTTTCAAAAAAACACAAGTTTAACATTCACAATTATGCAACGCCCAATCGTGAAGTGTTTCTTTTTTTACTAAGGAAATGTGGAATGTTTTTCTAGGGTTACTTTTTACTACATTTTAATCTAGAATATTCATATACCCGAACACGTCACGTTTTTAGGTATGCCCTTCTACATTGGGATACTATTAACATTTTTGCGGTAATACCATCCTAAGCATGTAGCATAACTCAAGAAACATTTGTCTAGAATATATGGAAGCGGTATATCAATATTTCAGACTAAATTTGGTGATATTTCTTATCATAAGGCAGTGTCTTAGCGGCGCCGTGGTAAAGTGGTAAGCGTGATTACCTCTCACCCCAGCAGGCCTGGGTTCAATCCCAGTTGGCACCGCCGGGATGTTCTGAGGCATTACATAGTAGAGCCGTTGGTTCTCAAAGAAAATTTCATTACCTACAACTTCTTCTCAGATGTTATTTTGATCAGATCCATAATTTACATGTAATGATTCTTAGAAGAAAAAAAATCCAGTTTTATATGCCCTTTTCAAAAGTGACTCTTGAGGAAAAAAAATTTGGTTAGCTTGAAAAATGTAGTAGCGAACTTGTGAGCAATGTTTCATTCAAATCGGAAGAGGTTGAGACAAAATTGACATTTCTTTTAGCATTTTGGAAGGAAATGCTCGAACAATGAACGATGGTGCCATCAAATTGGAAATAAAAATATACTCATTTTGAATTCGAAATTTTAATGTATGAACATATTTCGCAACAATGTACACACATAATAGTTTCATATGTGGATTGTTTGACTAATTCTCTTATGAAAATAGTACCTAATCTGTAGCTTCATTCTTTCTGGAGATATGAAGAATGTTGTGCTTTCTTAAAAATTAAAAAAAAAATAAAGAATGCTCCCTTGACACTTCGATTAGTACAATCATTTGGATTTTTAAAATCTTTAATTAATGTAACTTCCCTTTCAAATTTGGTTCAAATCGGAAGAGGTCAATATTAGTTTTGCAATTTTGCTCAGGCACTTGGAGCGGAAAGAAGCATATAAAGTAGCAGACTAACTATGTATTAACTATGATCAAACATTCAACGCAACTTATTTTACGGTTGTTTCGGATCATCAAGGATCATCGAGGATTCTCAGAATTTTAAACCAGGTTGTAGGTTGCTGTAGTGAAAATAATAATCAGCACTTTTCATATGACCCTGTTTTTGTGATGTTACAGCAGCAACTTGTTATAGAAAAATTGTACCTCTGCCCCCACCGGATGTCCTAGCGGAACCCGGAATAAACCCAGGACCACAGGGCCAATTTTATTAGGTTTTCAATTGACCATTACTGTGCACATTTGTATACTAATAGTGTAAATTTCATGCCTTTATTGGTAGAAAAGAAAACTGTTGATATCGCGATAGGCCCTCACTATAAGTAAGGCGGGTGTTGTTCAGTTCAAACGCTAACTTTTCAGGGTTAACTTGGATTTGCATCTAGTCTTTAACAAAGCTGTTCTCCATACCCCAAATGTTCTTTATTTTACACACGAAGAAAATCAAATTCGTTCAGCGCCACCTAAAGGCAAAAATGTAAAAGTACCGCATTCCCCCTTACATTTTTATACGAATGGCTTTAAATGTTGTGGGGATGTTCCTGACATCCCAAACATCCATTCTAGAGTAAAGCGTTTGAAATTCCAAAATTGACCTCATTTAAGCTCTAATCACAACCATATTAAACTAGTAATTTAAATAAACTTATGATGTTACTCCTCACTGTTTGACAACATTTAAATATACAATTTATTTTCTATTTTTCTTTTGCAGATCTCCGCGATGAACGGATATGAAAATTAAGTCAATTCTCAGCCACGTGATAGTTACTAGTAAGACTAAAGCACTTTTTAAGAACAAATTCATCGAACGATCACAGTGGATGCCAACTAACGGATTCTAATAATTCAAATGTTTGACATACCGTATGCTAGAGTAGAAAATAGCTTTTAAGGTATCATTCATCGGATTGTTGTACATCTTTTTCGTCCTGTTTTTTCTACGAAATGTTGAAGTTTTGTACAATCGTATTACAGCGTATTTGAAAATGGTCTGAAAATGGTCTGAAAAATGTTAGTAAAATAAACAAACCACATTGACAGAAAATAAATGATGTTTGTTTCTGGAGACATTTAGATGATCTTTTGTAAATAGAAATTTTAAAAACAATGTTTGACAAATTGCAAATGAAATGGAATCGTTTCATAAAATTTCTTCCAAAAATGGAAGAACAAATTTGTATAGAAGTTATTAAAATTGTTTTATACTTGTAAGCAGAATCGGCAGTACCACAATGAATTAATTCAGGCTTGTGAGAGTTTATAGGACAAATTTAAGAATAGTAGGTAACAATATAGATAGAAGGAAATTTAGAAACAAAAAGTATCAGAGAAAGTTGCGTAGAATTATGACAAGGAATTTATTAAATAAGTGGCACTAACCGGCAAGTCAGTGTAAATAAATTAAGCAGAACAAATGAAAAAAGTGGCAAACGAAAACAATCAATATGTTTGAACGTGAAATAGTCCAACGAACTTTAACTATAACCATCACTCGGGAGTTTTTTAATGACCCAGATGATAACGATGTGGTGGCGCCATGTCATATTTTGCTCCCAATAAATTTTCAACGAAAAGGTCAATTTGAAACACTGGCACCCACCATCCCCCATGCACGGCTGACATGTACACACACACACCCACACACACAACCTGATTGTATGTTGGTAGCGTTTTCAACTACAATGGACCGGAAAAGTTTGTAGGGTGCGGAAATTTATCATTACACAAAGTATCATCTGATAAAAAAAAAACGCTATTCGCAAAACAGTCCCATGTAAATAGGAATTCCATAGGGACTGCTATGTGGACCGTGGTAAAGCAGGGTTAAAGAAAATTAGAGGAAATAGGCCAGTAAAATGTTTTCAATGAACCGTTTTACCCATCATCGGCCCTGCAATTATTCACTACCGGACATAACATCTCGATTTGTATATCTCTACAAAAAATGTTCAAAGAGCTGTAACTTTTTAGAATTTTCATTTAATTTTCAGAAATTTTACAAGCGTCACTAGTTACAGGTAGTGAAAAAATTCTGCGCTAATCTTGACCCAGCTGCAATTCCTGTTCAGTTTATAAAATGGACACCAAATATAATCTAAAATGTTTGCAGCTTTTTAAGTTATATCGATATTGTTTATTCGGGATATGTATATATTGTGGACCAAACAAAATTATGCATTGCTTAATCTAATGATAGTCAAACTCAGGGTTGACATGCTAATTTGTTTACACAAATTTCACTTTTCCTAATAACTTTTCACTCAGTTGATGAAACTTGCTTAAGGCAAAAATCATATAGTGGGATAAGAGATCACTTTAGACACGAATAGAGTAGTTGAATCACAACATTTGTATTAACATCAATGTGTTTATTCATTAAAAGTTGAAATGAGCAGCGTTTACGACGCACAAATGCGTAAATCTTTTCGCCTAAATACAAATCAACCGTGTGTTAAGTACCTATAGGAAACTCGAACGCTTTTCTATCAGTTGCTCCAAGAAAAACCATGTTTCGTCAAGTGAATGTAGAGCTATTAACAAATGAGAAGTTTTTGCAAAAAACCAACCCTCTCATACGGATCCATAATCCGGAATATCCGGAATTGATTCTGCGATGGGCATTTGGCTCTGTGTTTGTCGTTTTGCATGCCATTTATCATATTTCTTCGAGTAGATGTGATTTGATATGTCGCTTGATATGGTTATGATATATAATAATGTTGACCATATGGATAGGGTTACCATATGGTATCCTCCTTTTTCAATAATGTTTCTATATCCTCCCTTTGCCCGAAAATGGCCTCCTTTTTAATCCTTGCATTTTTTCCAGTAACATATTCATAAAAATGTTTTCAAAGAGCGTTGTTTGCAGAGCTTATTTGTTTAATTATGTCTCAATCCCATCTTATCTAGCAAATGCCATTCGATGGTGGGACTACTAGTTTACTGCAGATGTCAACCTCCCTACATTTAGGCTGCGATCCATTTGGGGAACTTTAACTTATATTTAACAGATGGAACATTTTCAAATAAACCTGCTATTCTACCAGACTTATTGCAGGCAAACCAGGAATCAATTTTGACAAACACCTCGAAAATCACACGATCGATAACAGAGAGATTTTCGAACATTATAATTTATTTTCGAAGTGTCAGTGAAAATTCATCAATTTTTCTGAATTTTTACATTTTGAAAATAATTTGTAATATTCGAAAATCTCTCTGTTATCGTTCGTGTGATTTTCGAGGTGTTTGTTAAAATTGATTCCTGGGCTGCCAGAAATAAGACTGGTACAATAGCAGATGTATTTAAAAAAATTCTAACTGTAATATTTAAGTTAAAATTCACCCAATGGAGCACAGCCACATAGATTGCATCCCACATGTATTCGATTTTGACGTTCTGTTCAATCGGCGATTTGTAGCAACTGCAAGCTCACTCACAGAAACTAACAACAGCTAGTAGGCGAAATTGTCTCCTACCTGATGATGGTTTTTGTTTGCGTGGGTGAGTTAGCAGTTAAGACAAATCGTCGATTGAAGAGATTGTTTATAAAAGCAGATACGTCGATTTGAATAGTTTGAGAGCGAAGAGGCACGCGAATCGTGACATCAAATGTAAGGAATAATAACAATAATAGGAATTCTTTTGTGTAGAACGCAAAGCGCACCTCTTCGCTCCCACTATGGAAGCGGCCTTAGAGTCCTGTGCTGAATCAAGGGTTAAATTAACAGATTGCTTAGATGTTCCATTTTGGTTTCAATCAGCGATGACATGTATCCTGATTTATGAGCATGATAAAAGTTGGGATGGTTTTAAGGCTGTAAAGCTGTAGTTTTCATGCAAAACAGCTAGACTAGATCATTTCCAAGTATCAAAAATGAATTATGAAGGCTAGTTTGATGCATTTTTTAGAAGTATAACGAGAAGATGAATTGAATTGGTAACAATTACAAGGAGAGAGAGAAGGATTAGTAATTTCCCTTTAATTCCCCTACCTTATTTGCTTATCCATGACAGATACGCGTATTTCGTCTACAATGTGCAGACTAATAGTCGAGTATTAGTACAAGACACTGAAGAAGTCTGCACATTGTAGACGAAATACACGTATCTTTCAAGGATAAGCAAATAAGGTAGGCGTATTAAATGGAAATTACTAATCCTTCTCTTTCTCTCTCTTTAAACAGGTATTTCACTAAGACGCCCATATTCATCAGGAACCATAACAAGTTATGAACAATCTCAATTGAATCTTTGCAAATCATGAATTTTGTTATACCGCACATATTATTAAAACATTTGATAAAAACTCATTGTCCTCCTTTAATGTTAAGAAAGGGAATCATTTTCCTCCTTAATCTCCAAATTTCAAATTAAATGTCCTCCTTTTCAAGTTTTTGATATGGTAACCCTACATATGGATCCATATTCCGCAACATCCGGAGCCGATTCCAAGATAAATGATAAGATGGAAATATAACCCCCGTGCCAACACATTCTTTAATACATAACAAATAAGAAGGGACTTGGGGGGAGTTCAACCCAACAGATGTAAGAACCACCATGATATTCTAAAAAATCAATTTTTTTCGGCCACCGCAAGTAACAATTTTGGATTTATGAGGGTTCTGTAGATTATATGGACTTGTAGAGTGCTTTAAAACCTCAATAAAACTTGTAATACTACTTGGGATGGCATCTTGGTGATACAAATTTTTGAAAATATGAAAATATGTCCCGGGCTTAATAGTCAGAACGAAATATGTTTAGAGTGTTGCAAATGTATATTTTCAATTCAAATTTAATGGAAACAAAACTGAATAGCTTAAGCAAATAATAACATTCAGAACTAGGAAGTGTCAACATTATTTGAAAGTAATATTTAATTTTCTGAAGTAATAAACCTGGAACTAAAAGTAACACCAAAAATTTTGCAAATACAGTAACTACGAAATTAGTATTATTTTTTAAAGTTAATGTTTAAATGCGCTAAAATAAATAATATTTGACTTGACACAGTTGCACATTTTTTCCAGATGTTCAGATATTGAAATGACTATAACAATTGTATTTTAAAGCACATGTGATTTGAGATCTCGTAAAAATAACATACTGCTTCATATACAGTATCGACCCGGTTGTGTCAGCCCCATTAAAAAAATCTTTCCTAGTGTTCTCCGAATCCCATGCGCTTCTTCAGTGGTATGATTGAATCAAAGTATACATTAAACATCCCATGCTGTTCCTGGAAGAAAAAATTACTAAAAAAATCAGTATCACTGAAACACTCCAAACGAAACCCCCTTTCATATGAGACTAGTATGGAAATGTTCTATCAGAAGGTAATGAACTATTTTCAATTTTTTTCGTGTTTTTCAGTGTAAATTACGTCCAAAAATGTAATCTCTCGGCCATTGAAGCCCACAAACTGTATGGAAAAATGACCACCGATAGAAAATTTTGAAACTTACGAAAGAGAGACACCTAAGATTTCGTTTAGTGGATGTTTTAGCGATACTGATTGTTTTATAATAATGTTATTTTACCACAGACACCATGATACATCTTGAAGATGAATGATAAAGATTAGGAATTAAGGTTATGAGAAATAATGGAAATATAGAAAGTCTGATGCGCGAAGTTGCTGACAAAATCTGATCATTACTGTATATTGTTGATTATTTTCTCTATGTTGCTTACAAGCAGAGCTTCTTACTTGACCAAGAAAGCATACATTTAAATAATTAAACAAAAAAGTTGTGGCTGAAAGTGCGTTTCCGTTTTATAAACTGAACAGTCCTTGAAGAATGAAGGCTTACATGCGCACTAGTGCCGTGTGGTGAACAAATATCCATCAGTCCTCAGTTATAAGAGTAGGTTTGTCGAAGAAAGAAGCATTCTAGACTGTTAGTATAAATGGTTTCAATCCTGTTCACAATAAAAAAATTAATGTCTGAAAACAGGTAACATAATTTTGTCCGCAGAATTTTATTTTAAACGTTGATATGCCAAGATGTCTGAACTTGTTTGTCACCAACTGTTGAGTTGAGCTAAAAGATCTTTCAGTAAATTAGCATTGATTAATTGCAAAGATCGTTGAAGACATCGATAACTTATGATTGACTGAGTTCATTCTGTTTGCTGAACATCGAAAGTAATGTTTTTAAGAAGATTGATTTTGAAGCATGGACGTCTACATTGAAGCTAAATGTGCTTCGTGGATCTTTACGATTCTTTTTACTGATTTGTATTGTTTTTATGTAGCAATGAATCAAAGAGAATAAATGCAATTATAAATTGAATACCGTTATTCAGGGGGGAATTAATCACATACATATAAAAATTCCTTCGTTCATCGCAGAAAATTGACAAATTATGATATTCAAATCAATTTTAGAGTCTCAAATTGAAAAATATAGATATTGGGTGAAATTTATAAACCCCTCAATGGCTTTCTAGTGACTATGACTCTAGGAGATTTTCATATTAAATTTGGTTTTCTTACATTCTTGAACGAAATGTATTTTAAGCAGTTATTATGGAAAATATATTTTTATAATGCAGTTATGCCTAAATTTAGATTTTTTTATGACATTTTTCATTTCTATCATTGAATTTTTTACCATATATAAAAAAATCGATTGATTGTCACTTAGTTCAATGAAAAATGTCACTTACAAGCTACAATCGTTTCAACCCCATACCATATGGGGTCCAACCCCATATCATATGGGGTTGGAACGATTGTTGACTTTAATTTGAAACTCCAACCCCATTGAACGTCAATTACATAAATTAAAAAATATGCAGCGATATCTACTTTTTTTGTAAACAGAAACTCGTCAAAGCTACAATTGGAGTCTCATATTAAAATGCTCAAGATCAGGTAGGAAGGAAAAATGCGAACACGCATTTGAAATTCAAACTTCGAAAGCAGATAATCTGGTGGCTCCATTAAGGATAGCAGCCTTGGACCCTTAGATCCAAAATCCAGCACTGATCGAAATAACATCTGAGATAAAGTTGTAGATACATATATCAAGCTTAACTATTCAAATCGACGTATCTGTAAATATATGTAAACATTCTCTTCAATCGACGATTTTTCTTAACTGCTAACTCACCCACGCAAACAAATACCATCATCAGGTAGGGGAGTCTTTCTCTTACTAGCTGGTGTTGCTAGGTTCTGTATGTGAGCTAGCAGTTGCCACAAATCGTCGATTGAAGTGATTGCTTACAAAATCAGATACGTCGATTTGAATAGTTACGCTTGATATAGTTTTTTTTGTGGGAAAAATATACACGGTATTCTTTTGGTAGTTTTGAGTAAAAATAAAAAACAAATGTTCCAAAAACTGAAATTTCTTAAAAAGTATATCTTCAATTTTCATGTTTTCTTAAGAAAAAGCTCATGCAAACTTTTGGAATATTTAAACTATGGAAACTTGAAAATTGGCAAAAATCATGAAACAAGAACTTGACGTCAAATTTTTGAACATTTTAGTAATTTTTGTAGTTTTTTCATAAAAATCAATGCATAAGACATTTGAGCACTTTAATTTTCTGTATTAACATTGCATAAAAAAGCTTGCTAAGAAGAAGTTTAATATATGACCAAAAGTGATTTTACAACTTTTTTTGATATTTTTAAAGTATCGTGTATATTATTCCCAGATATACTTTACTAGTCACATACGTCATATGGATTAGAAGCAACGTTTTCGTGCTTCCATTCATTGAAAAATGTCACAAAGGTAATTTTAAAAAAATAACAGGACTGGTAAAATGTTTGTACAAAATTTAATGATAGGGCATAACAAACAATAATGCAAAGTATCATGCAAATTGAAGAAGGTCGAAAAAAATTTGTTTTTTTCAATATGGCATGGATTTTTTGCAGTTTTATTAGCATGTCTAGCAAAATTTTTATTTCATTTGATGATTTTATTGAACATTTTATCAAAGAATCGGAAAAACATGCTAATTTCTGTGTCGTTTTTTTACACGGGGAATATAAACCGTGTTAAAAAACCTATCGATATTTTGATTTTTCACATGCTTATATGTTTCAGAAAAAAATGGGATTTTG